GTAAACATACTGAAATAATTGAATTCCAACAATTATTAACAAAGTTATTTATTTCTTATATATTCCAATATCGTTTTTACGAGCTCGAGTAAACCAATTCGATTCCTTTGTGCTCGCTTCTTGATTGTGAGGTAAAGGTTCCTGGTCTTCGGCAAACTACTGATTAGTTTGTGCCACCATTTGACTGTCGTAGCTTTGGTTGACTCCAAAAAGGAGTGGTGCTGGGATTAATTATATTTGGTTTGTAGTATGCGGTGTGTTAAGACTGTTACTACTGTGAATGGAGTTGATCCTTTCACCAGTTGGTCCTTTGGTATCGTCGTCAATGGAAAAGTGATAATAATAATAATAATAACAATAATAATAGATATAATTAGTGAAGGTATTCAGACTAACAGACAGAAAAAGAATAAGAAAACGTAACAACATTCAGTCAACCGGTATATATATATACCAGTAATAATTATAGGTGTAGTTAAAGCTGTCAGGAGAGTAAGACTGAAGAGAATGTAAAGAAGTAAAACGACCAGTTTAACTGTCTACCTTTGAATGGTGTATGCGATTTTAAGGGGATAGGCCATTTGGATGAAGTCCTTGTGTCGCTGCATGGTTGTCCAGCCTTCGCTTAAAGGCGTCCACGGATGGTGCCATAGCTACATCTGCCGGTAAGGAATTCCAGGGACGGCAAACCCGCAGGGAAAAGAAGTGGGAGCGCACCTGGGTCCTTGCCCTCTGATGAGCTATTCTTCAGGGATTCCCACGAGGAAGCGTATACCTACTCAATGGCAGAACACTTTTGTTTGAGTGATTTTGGCCATTTGTAATCCTGTAGGATGCGATCATGTACTCCTAATCCGATGGTGGCTAGGTATGAAGAGACCTAATTTCTTTGGCCCTTCATCATACGGTTTGCTCCGAAGATCCATCACTCTTTTTGTCGCCCGTCTTTGGACTCTTTCCGAGAGGTTGTCGTCTCTTCTTAGCAATGGGGTGCAATGATATTGTGCACTGCATGGTACGGTCTGAAGTATGGTTTGTACAACTTCTGAGAGAGCTCAGGAGTGAGTGCACCTAACTGTCTATGTGTAAAGTGTATGACCGCATATGCCCTCGCTACATCCCCGTGTAATTCACACTTGTATCCGTTTTTTCCGTTAGAACTAGACCTAAGTCACGTTGCACGGGGTGTAGCTTGCATTCTGCGGCCTACGGGTGCGTAATTTTACTACTTTGCACTTTTTCAGGTTGAAAGTCATACCGTTGACCACCGCCCAGTCATCCAGAAGTTTAGGTCTACCTGCAGCCTATCTGAGTCCTCCGAACACTTTATTGCTCTCCAAATCCTAACGTCTTCAGCGTAGAGAAGAGTCGGGCAGCTTAGACGGCATGGTAGATCATTGATTAAAATCAAAAACATCAGTGGCCCTAGGATAATACCCTGCGACACTCCTGATGACGGGCTGTGCCAGGATGATTGAATTCGATTGATCTTAGTTCGGAATTTCCCTTCATCTAGGCAAACCTTCAACCACGACAGGAGCGACTTACCTTTACCTGTCTGACTTATTTTGGGCAGGAGAAGGTCATGGTGAACTGTGTCAAATGCCTTCTCAAAGTCTAGGAAGATCATATGGATTGGAATATTCATATCCCACCATGATGCCCAATCGTCCCAAGCTGATAATAGGCTTGTTACACAGGATCTGCCTTTCCTGAAACCGTATTGTGCTTCATGGAGTCTCTTAGTCCTACCGAGGTGCTCTGTGATGCGATCATCAATAGTACTCTCCAGTACTTTTGATACCATTGGGAGTAGGGCTACTGGTATATAACTGGTGGCATTTTGCATGTCCTCACCCCTTAAGATCGGAAGAAGGATGGCTCTTTTCGACTCCCTTGGCAGTTTCACTGAATCCATCGAGTGATGTAACAAGTCTCATAAGGGCCTACAGAGAGCTTTGGTGCACTGTTTCGGAACAGATGGCCTGAGGTTGTCATAAACTGGGGACTTTCCTGATGTGGATCTCCGTAGCTTTCCTAGCACTATTACACGGTTTATTTGGAGAGTGGTCACTAGGTTTTCTTCTGGTGAAGTAGGGTTGGCGCCATTTTGGTCCGTACCAGTAATGCCAACATTGATGTTACACTGTTTGGCGAAGGCTTAACTGAGTGTTTCAACCATCTCCAGACTAGTGAGGTATTATAATAATAATTTATATTTCACATTAACGGGTAAGTTTACAATAAAAATTCATGCCATTTTTACAGGCATTATCAGTTGTGTTATGCATTACAATCATGAAGTATCATAAGTTTAAACTATTCAGTTATCGTACAAGCAATTAGATCAGGTTCTTACAAATGTTAAATTGTAAACTCCTTACTAAGGTCACCATCAAAGTTGGGCCACAACCCAAATTTCGTTCCTGTTCCTGCTGATAGTTATGGTCAACCAGTGAACAGCGTATACTTGTGTGAGTGCTATGCCCCCATGTGACTGAAAGCTAGTTCAGAAAGAGAAGAAAATCCTGGGAAACTGCAAAATGGGATAAAATACAATGATGGATAGTACATCATTGAAAGTACATTTGCGAGATATATACAAGAAGGATGTGGAGACTCCTTGGAATGATAGTATTCACTTACAATGTATAATGCTAACCATATTGGTCTAAGCATGGGAACTATGACGTTTTCGATGAAAATATAGCTTTCCTCAAGTATTGGTGTTGTTGTGTTTTTCATCAAAGCAACCAGACTTTAAGCAAGCAACAAATATTAACAAAGATTAAGTTTTAGCTTTAATAAAGACCTAGGAAGTTGAGATAAAATAGAGTGTAATAGTGCTTAAATAAAAAGATTATCACCAGGTAGATAAGTGGTGTTTCAGCAAGAAGTGAATTGAAAGATCTGGAAGATTAGAATCCATAGGACAAACTGACTTGTAAGATGTCTCACGAATTTCTGTAGGGCCCATGGAGTAGAATCTAGACAAGAAGCTGAACAGGCTTGTAGATGGTAGAAGAGAAAGCATTTTTTATTTATAATTTAGATCTGTGCAACTTTTACTTTCTTCCTCTTTTTGGTAAGGGTCCAGACTAATGTTTAATTCTCAACCTGTCGAAAAAATGCATGTTACTGTTCTACAGATCGGAGTGATTCACATTTGTGACCACTACCATATCTGCTGATCAGCATGCGCCTCCCTCCCTCCCTTTTGATGTTAAGCTCTGAGGTTTTTATTTGGCAATTGCATTGCTTTTAGCCCGTCCCAATCGTACGGTATGCTTTACATTAATAACTTTCATTACAAGCGCTTCCCATTAGGTCACCAGATACATTGATACCTGGGGACATTCTTAGCAGTATCGCCCTTACACACGCATGCGTGTACTGACCGTTTGGCATGCATTGTGGTCGGTCTTACTGTTGGAGAGTCTCCAGTTAAAACAAAACTCTCGCTTTGCTTGCAGAATACGTTGCGTACCTCTTTTAAGCCATGAGAACCTTTTCTTCATCTGTGTTGTGACTAGAGGGACGGTATCCGAGATTGCTGTGTGGAGAAAGCCTTTTACCACTACTTTCCGTTGTTCATCCACAGATAACTCGGCCCATTTTACAGGTCATTCTGCTTCGGACAAAAGCCTCCGCATCTCAGCATAGTCGGCCATGTTGCAGCAAAAACAGGGTCGCATAGCGTCTCACTGCAGGCACTCGCCGAGAACAAGATCGAATCCCGTGACTGCATGGTCTCTACTTCCTAGTGGGGGAATGATCTGGACATTTTCAACAAGTAGTCGGTCACAAGCCAGAATATAATCCATTTTGAATGACTCTTCAATAGGGCCCCATCTAGTGCTGTCCCCAACATTCTCAGTCAGTTCTGTATTTCTAATGGTCTGCAGTAGATTTTGACCGAATTTTCCCTTAGCATACCTCGAGCCAAGGTTCAGTGATTGGGCGTTGAAATCTCCAGCTATGGTGATTTGGCCATATCCCAAGTCCCGTGTCCCTGTGATGGTGTTGAACAGTAGCTGGTTGTGCTCTGCACCACAAGTGGGTGGTTGGTAGACGCCTCTCAGTAAATGCTTAGTGTGGCCTACGGTGAAGTATATGGCACCTCCAACCTTCCTTGTTATCCCTGTCTCTCCTGACCAGAACCACATCACTCATACTGATTTTGTTGTCGGCTACAGTGGGGGTTAGCCACTTTTCAGTGTGGATGATTATTTTGAGGTGTTTGTATGACTGGGGGTTTTGAGTTCACCTCCTTTCCCTATCAGCCCTCTCACACCGCTATTTAGGCAGCTGGCAGCAAGTCTAACAACCTCAGCATGTTAATAATAATAATATATATTTTCCTATCAATGTAGGACACACCAGTTGTACAGGCATGGATAAGTATTATTTAAATTACATGAATTTGATTTATAGTGAAATTACATGGTTGCTGTCCTCTCTGATATCAGTTAGTGAGCACATTCTGATAGTTAGTCGTTCAATGGAGCACATAAAGAAATATAGAAATATTGTCTTCGCATTAACAAAAAAAACCCAAGTACGTGTCGGATAAATTACAAATATTTGGGAAAAAAATAAAGCTTGAAGTCAATTCCTCCATATAACTTTGTTGTGTGTGGCATCGTATCTTGTTTTATGTTCAAATTGTGTATTAATTTAAAATGAGTGATTAATTTTTATGATTTTGACATCACTTAAATTGCAAGTAATACCAGATGTGAATTCAACTGAATGTAGATTAATATTGGTCATTGTCAAGCAGATTTGTTTTACTGAACTCAAGTCACCCATAGCCCGCCATTTGTCACAGCATGGTTGCTCCGTACGAGTAAGTTGATGAACGGGTAGAAAGCTATATAAAAACCATTTTAGATCGTTGACAGTGCTTGTATAAGATGCTGTACAGCGTCTTGTTATGGTGACAGTGGATTTCATCAAGGATGCTGAGCCATTACTAGCCAAACCTTGAGGGATGATATATGAGTAAGTGACTTCAATTGTTTCTCAGCTTCATTCGGAATGTAGATCAATGCAACTTGTACTACAAAGTAAATACAACAGAAATGTACCAGAGGACAAAGGAAAACCAGGTCGAGTCTAAAACATTTGATTATATTCGTTGTACATTGTAATTTGTTGAACAAAAATTTGTTTCTACTATGTCTTTTTATGCATTTATGCTACTAGTTTATTTATAGTCTTTAGGGAAGTAAGGGTATTTAAGCGCGTTTAGGTACTGTAGTAGACTAATAGTTGATTCGTTCTAGGAATAAATAGTTTATTTATATAGTCGGTAGAGTGAAATAGTCTTTTTATGCATTTATGCTACTAGTTTATTTGTAGTCTTTAGGGAAGTAAGGGTATTTAAGCGCGTTTAGGTACTGTAGTAGACTAATAGTTGATTCGTTCTAGGGATAAATAGTTTATTTATATAGTCGGTAGAGTGAAATAGTCTTTTTATGCATTTATGCTACTAGTTTATTTATAGCCTTTAGGGAAGTAAGGGTATTTAAGCGCGTTTAGGTACTGTAGTAGACTAATAGTTGATTCGTTCTAGGAATAAATAGTTTATTTATATAGTCGGTAGAGTGAAATAGTCTTTTTATGCATTTATGCTACTAGTTTATTTGTAGTCTTTAGGGAAGTAAGGGTATTTAAGCGCGTTTAGGTACTGTAGTAGACTAATAGTTGATTCGTTCTAGGAATAAATAGTTTATTTATATAGTCGGTAGAGTGAAATAGTCTTTCTATGCATTTATGCTACTAGTTTATTTATAGTCTTTAGGGAAGTAAGGGTATTTAAGCGCGTTTAGGTACTGTAGTAGACTAATAGTTGATTCGTTCTAGGAATAAATAGTTTATTTATATAGTCGGTAGAGTGAAATAGTCTTTTTATGCATTTATGCTACTAGTTTATTTATAGCCTTTAGGGAAGTAAGGGTATTTAAGCGCGTTTAGGTACTGTAGTAGACTAATAGTTGATTCGTTCTAGGAATAAATAGTTTATTTATATAGTCGGTAGAGTGAAATAGTCTTTTTATGCATTTATGCTACTAGTTTATTTGTAGTCTTTAGGGAAGTAAGGGTATTTAAGCGCGTTTAGGTACTGTAGTAGACTAATAGTTGATTCGTTCTAGGAATAAATAGTTTATTTATATAGTCGGTAGAGTGAAATAGTCTTTCTATGCATTTATGCTACTAGTTTATTTATAGTCTTTAGGGAAGTAAGGGTATTTAAGCGCGTTTAGGTACTGTAGTAGACTAATAGTTGATTCGTTCTAGGGATAAATAGTTTATTTATATAGTCAGTAGAGTGAAATAGTGTGTACAGAGAGCGTTTGAAACTTAAAACTGTATTACAGTTCCTGATATCTAGGGGCAGATTGTTCCATATTTTAGAATACATGACTGTGAAGAAGTTTTCGCGGAGTGTTGACTTAAAGGCTTTTATTGTCACTGTGCAATTTTGGTTACGCAGATCGTAAGAGCCTTCTTGCGCGAATTGTATGTCCTTAATGTCTGAGAATGATATTTTGTGTAGGACCTTATAGAAGAATACTAGGTTTATAATTAGTCGTCTTGTCCAGAGTGGGTCAAGTTGTAGAATCTTGCAACGTGAGATGTAGTCTTTCTTACATTCGTAGCCTAGTAGTTTCGAGGTAAAATATCGTTGGATACTTTCAATTCTTAGCTTTTCACGTGTGTGAGTGCTGCTCATAATAAATGGACAGTATTCTAGTAGTGGCCTCACACAGGTTTTGTACAGAATGAGCTTTGCTTCATTGTCGTGAAAGTTCCTGAGTATGCATCCTAAGAGCATCCTCGACTTTTGAGTCTGTGATGCCACTTGCTCAGAGAATGTTAGGTTACTCGAGTACCTCAGACCTAGGTCAACGACACTTTGGAGTTTCGTTAGGTTAGCCGATTGAAGCGTTAACTTTATGTCGATTGAGGGTGCACAGAAGCAGATCCAGCCACATTTTTTAAGGTTAAATTGGAGGTTCCATAAAGACGACCAAGCAGTCACTTTATCTAGTTCTTCTTGTACAACATTCTGGAAGTACCCTAGGTCATCAGGTTGGAATGTATAAGCTACTTTGAGGTCATCTGCAAAGATGAATGGTTTACCATGAGTAAAGCAAGCGCATATGTCGTTAATATATAGGGTAAATAGAAGGGGTCCAATGACACTACCTTGTACTACACCAGAGGTGATTTGGCTAGGTTTCGAAGTTATAGATCCGAGTTTAACTATTTGGGACCTATTGTTAAGGAATGATTTAAGCCATCCTAATAGCGGGTCACTTATTCCTAAGGATTTCAGCTTGTGCACTAGTAGTAAATGGTCGACACGGTCAAATGCCTTTGAGATGTCAAAGTAGATGACAAGTACTAGTTGTCGTCTGTCACGACTGCTGGTCACAAAGTTAAAGAAGTCTAAGTGGCATGTTAAACAAGATCTGGATTTTAGGAATCCATGTTGGCTCGGGCTTATAATACTGCAACTAAGCATATGCTTCATTAGGTTTTCTTTAACTAGTCTCTCCATAATTCTAGAAGCTATAGGTGTGATATTAATTGGCCTGTAGTTACTGACGTCTGTTTTCGAGCCAGATTTGTGTTTAGGCATAATAAACGTTGTTTTCCATACATCAGGGTAAGTTTGGGTTTCTAAGGACATTGTGAATATTTTAAGCAGGAGTAAGGGAATGTCAGGGCCACCATATTTATAAAAATAGGATGATATGCGGTCAGTACCGAAACCTTTTGAGCATTTTAGGGTTCTTATAGTTTGTTTAATGTTAGTATAGTTAAATTCAATAGTGCTAATTAAGTTTGGTGTGTGTGGAGATGGAGTTTGTGCCACATTAGTAGCAGGGTGTATATTGAGTAGCTGGACTGTGGGCTTAAGGTAGTTACCTGCAAAAGTTGAGTTGAATAATTCACACATGTCTGCGGAATTAGTACATAGCCTACCTTTGTCTATGAGGAGAGAAATGCTGTGTTTTTTGCGATTCATTCGCTTCTTTAAGATTTCCGTGAGTGCATACACTCTAGCAGGACTGGCTACTGCGATGCGTTCTTCGTTTCTCATACGGAAATTTCGAGCTTGTGAGATGGAACTAAGGGTGTTAAGTATTAAACCTAGTGTGCCAAAGTCGTGGTGTTTGAAGTAGCTTGTTGAGAGTTTCTTCAGTTTCATACGATCCTTTGGTTTTATGAATGACTTCCTATGTGGGGAAAGCTTTAGTGTTTGGAGTGGAATGACAGCATCTAAGCATGTGTTCGAGTTATGCCATTTTTACAGGCATTATCAGTTGTGTTATGCATTACAATCATGAAGTATCATAAGTTCAAACTATTCAGTTATCATACAAGCAATTAGATCAGGTTCTTACAAATGTTAAATTGTAAACTCCTTACTAAGGTCACCATCAAAGTTGGGCCACAACCCAAATTTCGTTCCTGTTCCTGCTGATAGTTATGGTCAACCAGTGAACAGCGTATACTTGTGTGAGTGCTATGCCCCCATGTGACTGAAAGCTAGTTCAGAAAGAGAAGAAAATCCTGGGAAACTGCAAAATGGGATAAAATACAATGATGGATAGTACATCATTGAAAGTATATTTGCGAGATATATACAAGAAGGATGTGGAGACTCCTTGGAATGATAGTATTCACTTACAATGTATAATGCTAACCATATTGGTCTAAGCATGGGAACTATGACGTTTTGGATGAAAATATAGCTTTCCTCAAGTATTGGTGTTGTTGTGTTTTTCATCAAAGCAACCAGACTTTAAACAAGCAACAAATATTAACAAAGATTAAGTTTTAGCTTTAATAAAGACCCAGGAAGTTGAGATAAAATAGAGTGTAATAGTGCTTAAATGAAAAGATTATCACCAGGTAGATAAGTGGTGTTTCAGCAAGAAGTGAATTGAAAGATCTGGAAGATTAGAATCCATAGGACAAACTGACTTGTAAAATGTCTCACGAATTTCTGTAGGGCCCATGGAGTAGAATCTAGACAAGAAGCTGAACAGGCTTGTATATGGTAGAAGAGAAAGCATTTTTTATTTATAATTTAGATCTGTGCAACTTTTACTTTCTTCCTCTTTTTGGTAAGGGTCCAGACTAATGTTTAATTCTCAAGCTGTCGAAAAAATGCATGTCACTGTTCTACAGATCGGAGTGATTCACATTTGTGACCACTACCATATCTGCCGATCAGCATGGCCTCCCTCCCTCCCTTTTGATGTTAAGCTCTGAGGTTTTTATTTGGCAATTGCATTGCTTTTAGCCCGTCCCAATCGTACGGTATGCTTTACATTGATAACTTTCATTACAAGCGCTTCCCATTAGGTCACCAGATACATTGATACCTGGGGACATTCTTAGCAGTATCGCCTTTACACACGCATGCGTGTACTGACCGTTTGGCATGCATTGTGGTCGGTCTTACTGTTGGAGAGTCTCCAGTTAAAACAAAACTCTCGCTTTGCTTGCAGAATACGTTGCGTACCTCTTTTAAGCCATGAGAACCTTTTCTTCATCTGTGTTGTGACTAGAGGGACGGTATCCGAGATTGCTGTGTGGAGGAAGCCTTTTACCACTACTTTCCGTTGTTCATCCACAGATAACTCGGCCCATTTTACAGGTCATTCTGCTTCGCACAAAAGCCTCCGCATCTCAGCATAGTCGGCCATGTCGCAGCAAAAACAGGGTCGCATAGCGTCTCACTGCAGGCACTCGCCGAGAACAAGATCGAATCCCGTGACTGCATGGTCTCTACTTCCTAGTGGGGGAATGATCTGGACATTTTCAACAAGTAGTCGGTGACAAGCCAGAATATGATCCATTTTGAATGACTCTTCAATAGGGCCCCATCTAGTGCTGTCCCCAACATTCTCAGTCAGTTCTGTATTTCTAATGGTCTGCAGTAGATTTTGACCGAATTTTCCCTTAGCATACCTCGAGCCAAGGTTCAGTGATTGGGCGTTAAAATCTCCAGCTATGGTGATTTGGCCATATCCCAAGTCCCGTG